TCCCATAGAATTGGGATACCCCAAGCCTTAGTAGAGTGAACTCTGGAATAGACACTTAAAACTTCAGAAGTGATTGCAGAACTTAGATATTCTAACAAAGGCTGCTCAACACCTCCCGACTCTGCCCTGTCCCTTCCTTCAGATAAGTTTACAAATCATAAAAAAAGTGCATGCAGCCTAAAATAAAAGCCCTCAAATTTCAGTTCAGGAGGAAAACCAAACCAGTTTCAGATAAAGTGGGAAGAAATTGAGGAGGCAAATAGAGAAACAGAAAAAATTCACTCAAGTGCTTTGAGCTCAAGAAAAACCTAAAAAGAAAATGAGCTCAGTAAACTAAGAACTCAAAAATGAGACAATAAAACACCTGAAAGAGATTAATAGGGAAACTGCACATCTGATAAAGCATGGACCAAAACAATATTATTAGAGAACTAAAGAAAACAAAATGGCAAGGAACAGAATAGACATAGCTGGAAATGGAACGATTGATGTGGAAAAAAGTTGAAATAATCATGATAAAGGCAAACAAAAATCACAAAGAGATTCGAATAATCAGGGAGAAGCTCATAAATTTGGAAGACAGGTTATTGGTGTTTCTGGAATGGAGAATTTATTTGTGCCTTTTTTTTTTGCATTGCTTAAATTTTTTATAATGAAAATGTATTATTTTTATAAGACCGATAAGCTGATTTTTTTTAAAAACAAAGCAGAATGAAAAACAAACCTTCAACATTTCTCCTTAGTCCTCAGGATATGGATAAGCTTTTGTATTCAAATTAAAAACCCAAACAATTTTCTAAACCTACCTTCCTTTACTCTCATATCAACAGGGCTTATCTATAAGAAAATCCCTGCTTCTGCTCCTTTTCCCAAATCATTTTTACCATCTCGAATAGGCTCACCATCCTTATTTTATCTAAACAAATACAACCCATCTCACAAAGCTCAACCTCTGGTCTATCTGTTCCACTGACCTCTTCAGAGCTCACCCCTCTCCCTGCCCAGTATTTTTTAATCAAATAATAATTTAAATGATTTATGTAGAGAAGTACCAACAGAGTTCTTATTTCCTCTGGATTTGGTTTTAAGAGGAACCATGAAATGAGAGACAAGTTCTTTCGATTTAAGTCAATTCAATTAAGGTTGTTATTTTAATGAGAAGCTTCTGAAGCTTATTAATATTATAATAGGAAGTGAGAACTTGCAAAGCTTAAATTTCAATGGAATTTCAAAGAATACTGAAGTTAATAAGATATATATCCATTCCCTAAATAGACAAGGAACAATGGGAACATGGAGAAGTATCTGAATGTTCATAAAGGGTTCCAGTTTTATTTTTTGCACACAAGTAATGAAAACGCTTTTTATAGATTAAATTTTTTAATAAAGTTGCTTGCTATTAAAAACAAGTTTATTAATAATCAAGATCTATATATCTACTGGCTTTTCAATAAAATGAACGGATTTCACTAAGTGACCACATATAGTAAATACTCTTAGACTGAGAAATAATTTATTTCCATCATCTGGGCCATGAAAAAAGACCATGATACCATTACTTGTTGACAGCAATGGATAAAAGTAATACCAAGATTTCTTTATTTGTTGACTCCTGAGAGCTGCCAAAATGATATTAAAAGTGAAAAAGTTATATTAGACATGTCATCTACTTTTAAAACTTTTGAGAAAATGCTTTCATCTTCTTGCACAGTGGAAGAGGATGGCATTTTTTAAAAATAATATTCCAACAATTTTTAAATATTTCAAAAATTTTTACAATATATAGACACATACAATTTTTAAACTTTAAGAAAGGCATACAAGAAAAGATAGTTTCTCTTCCTCTCCATTTCTTAGTAAGTCTCACTTCCTAGAAGCAATTCTGTTAATTTCTGTTCTTTAGCTTTCCTGATGTTTATCATGATTTCCTCAATCAGCATAATTATCAGTTTACTAATTTTAAACCATCTCTCAACAGTAAAGATAAATTAACACATTTTCTCTTCTTTCCACTTCTCTCCACCTCTAAATTTGTTAATTGTAAATATTTATAACATTATATTGGTGACTACATACAAAATTTGTATATAAATTGACGAAAAATTAAAAACCCAAACCCAACATTTGCCATACTATAATTTTATAAATACAAACTATAGAACCAGGTAATATAATTAGATCTTCAGTGATGAAAATATATTCTTATGTCGTTAAAACTGTGTAACTCACTACAGCCATGCTACACTGAACAAGCCTGATCCCATCTGATCTCGGAAACTAAGCAGGGTCAGACCTGGTTAGTACTTGGATGGGAGACTACCTAGGAAGACCAGGTGCTGTAGGCGTAAGAAATTAAAAAATAAAGGATTGTAAGCTAACAAGGTCCTTGCAATCTGTGAGGTCAACCAAGGGTTGCCTTGC